GCTGCAGCATGGCAGAGTAACTGAACTGCTCTGGCACTTACATCAATGTCTTTCAAGATGGATAATTGCCACCCAAGCATGCCTGGTATTCTAAAAAATAATCCCATAAACTAAAGAGAGGCGTTATAGTTTAGAGTGGAAAATTGCCTGGGGAAATGGCAATGTAGGAGACTATTTGACATTAAAAACATATTGATTTTTGTCTGTTGATTTCTGACTGCATGCCACAATAAATCTGTGACACAGAAGGTGAAATCCTGGCCCTATTGATATCAGTGGGGACCATCATGTCACCCCTACTGTATTATAGAGAATTCTGAAATAATGACTTTCTATAGGTTAATATAGAATCATAGAACTGGAAGGGACCTCAAGAGATCATCAAGTCCAGTCCCTTGCCCTCACAGCAGGACCAAGCACCATCTACATCATCCCTGATAGATGTCTAGCCAACCTGCTATTAAATGTCTTCAGCGATGGAGATTCCACAACCTTCCCAGGCAATTTATTCCAGTGTTTAACTACCCTGATAGTTAGGAAGTTTTTCCTAATGTGCAACTGTGATGGGATGTAACAACCCCACACTGGCCCCTCCCTCACAGCCCTGCTGGGCATGCTCCAACTGCAGGCCTAGTATAAAAGCCAGGGGAGCAGTTCAGTCAGGGCTGGCCATGGAAGAGGAAGGAGCTCCTGCTCGAACCCAGGAACAGCAGCTGCCATCACTGCCGCTACCACGGTAGGCAGATGCCGTGGGAGTGACTAGTCCAGAGGCTGCAGCCGGGGAAGACCCCAGCCTTCAGACAGGGTTGGAAGTAACCTAGGGTGGGGAGCTGGAGGGCACACGGTGAGCTCAGCATGTTTTGGGTGGATTCCCCACTGAGCTAGTGGTGGGACATGCCCACCACTAACAGGGTCCTGGGCTGGGTCCCCCTACCTCACCCTCATTCACCTCCAAAAGGGGTGTGTGTGCCTAGATGGCATTATTGACTTGGCCTCTGGGCCTTACTGTCCCACCAACTGGGGTCCTTATTGATTTGACCATTGGGCCTTACCACCCCACGGACTGGGGTCATTATGGAGTACGCTGCTAGGCCTTACTGCCCTGCTGATAGCAGCTATACATAGGAGGAGGGGAATGATTATGGGATGAGGCACCCAGACGGGACCTAAGAGGATCCTTGCATGGCCTCCCAGGAGGCCAGGCTTCCCACCCTGTGACACCAACCGAAACCTCCCTTGCTGCAATTTAAGCCCCTTGCTTCTCATCCTATCCTCAGAGGCCAAAGAGAACAATTTTTCTCCCTCCTCCTTGTAACCCCCTTTTAGATACTTGAAAACTGCTATCATGTCCCCTCTCAGTCTTCTCTTTTCTAAACTAAACAAGCCCAGTTCTTTCAGTATTCCCTCATAGCTCATGTTTTCTAGCCCTTTAATCATTTTTGTTGCTCTTCTCTGGACCTTCTCCAATTTCTCCGCATCTTTCTTGAAATATGGTACCCAGAACTGGACTCAATACTCCAACTGAGGCCTAATCAATCAGTGCAGAATAGAGTGGAAGAATGACTTCTTATGTCTTGCTCGCAACACTCCTGTTGTGTCTTGCTCACAACACCCCAATAAATATGGGTTGTTTATTACAAGTACAAGAATATGGCACTTAAAAAAGTCCTGGATCAAAAAGTAAAGGCTCCAGCCCTGCAAGAAGTTCCATGCGGACCACCACCAGAATAATTATTGCAGGATCAGCATTGAAATTTAATCTCAATTTTTTTAGATTAATATCAATGGCATTTAAGCTACTTAGATGCTTTGAAAATCTTACTAGGTGCCCACCTGCATCTTTACATACCTAAATACCATTAGAAATCCATCCCCAAGACCTTGAGACATCCTCCTCATTTCCTTTTTCCTGTTTCCTCCTCATTTCCTTTTTCATGTGATAAGACTCACCCCAATGATTGACAAGCATGAAGAGAGAGGAGTTGTAAACAAATATGGATCATACTTTTAAAGAGGAGTCTGATTTTGTGCCACCAGTTTTGTCCCTGTAATTGTCTAGAAGTACAGTTTTGGGATGGCAAATACTGAGTTCTAACCACATGATTTTCAAGGCTAAGCAGGTTAGTAGATGTCAGTGTGTTATCATTTGCATCCAGGAATGGATGCTACATTGAAGGTGAAAAACTAGAGGTTGCTTTTAACTATTTGTCCCAATATTTATATTTTGAATTTTGTATTACTCAGAATTCACACATGGGAAAAACAATATTACTTTTCAACAATACTGAGACCTCTAGAATTACTATTATTATTTTCTTAACAATGTAAGTGTGCATGGCATTTAATAGACAACCATCAGTCAATGTAAATACACTTGGCTATAGAATACATAAAGGTTCCATAGCAAGATAGCATAAATAAATAATCTAGGAAGTTATTTTCAGTAACAATTATTTTCAGTAGTGATTCAAGAGATATCTGATATCTCATGAAAGGTTTCATTTTATCCATATAATATTTAAATAACCTCTCCTCTTCCATATTGCAATTCATTTGTGCAAGGAAGCAGAGGACGGAAACTTGTACCACTTTTTTTTTTCCATTGGAAAACTGAAGAGAGCTGTCTTTGTTTTACAGATCTGACAATATAACGAGAAAAATCTTTGGGTCCATTTTGTTTTACAAGTTTATAAGAACTATACTCAATAAAATGGAAGGTTTAGAAAAGGACATAGTCTAGTCTAGTCTAGTCAGGTTAATTGAGAAAAGGACGTAGTCAGGTTAACAGAGCACTTCAATAAAGTGAAAGGTGCTGTAGATAGAGATTCTAGAACATGTTTTCCATCTTCCCCTACTGAGGTGAGCAACACAATTATGTTGATGACTGCTGGGAAGGAGTCACAGAGTTTGTTCACACATGTTAAATGTCATGAATGCAGTGGAGAGAAATGATGTGCTAAAGAAAGGAACAAGTTGAACATTTAATAAGAAATAAAAATTTGGCTGAAATTCAAGTTCTGAGGATCTATAAATCTGAAGTGTCCAACTTGTTTAACATCCAGCCAAATCTGACTCCAACAAAAATCAAGCTAAAGAATGTATTCTTGTTGCCATGATGTTTACTCATATGCCAGCCATCCCCCTTTCAAATTATTCTATTTTGAAGGTATAATTTCCACCTGTTCTTTGATCTTCTACCACAAAAGTCAAATGGGCCTGGGCCACACTAAAGGGGAAAGTTGACTTAAGATACTCAACTCCAGCTATCTTAATTACATAGCTGAGGTTGACGTATCTTAAATCATATTTTCAGGCTGTCCACATAGTGGGAGGTTGATGGAAGCAAACGCTACCATCAACTTACCTTATCCCATGTGAGGCGCTGGACTACTGGCACCAACGGGAGCGCCCTCTCAGTTAGAATTAGCGGGTCTTCACTTGACCCATTAATTTGAATGCTAGAGGGTCGATCTCCATAGTACAGACAAGCCCTTAGCTAATAAGAACATTCATCAAATCCCAACTTCCCATTAGCATTTAAACACTATCAATTCAGGACTCCAGCCATCTTTTATAGTCAGTGCTTCTGATCAGGTATATCTTGTGAATGGCTAGGTGTGCTCCAGAACCACAGCCAAAGTCATCAAATTATTTATAATTAGCTAGATAGCTTTGGGTATGTCTACCTGACAAGCCTAGTTCGAACTACCTAGTTCGTGCCCCGTGTAGCCGCACTGCACAGAGTTCGAACCAGCGGGGTTTTAAAAATGGCGGCCCCCCGCTTATGCAAATGAAGCCCGGGAAATTCAAATCCCGGGCTTCATTTGCATAAGCGGGGGGCCGCCATTTTTAAAACCCCGCTGGTTCGAACTCTGTGCAGTGCGGCTACACGGGGCACGAACTAGGTAGTTCGAACTAGGCTTCCTAGTTCGAACTACCGTTACTCCTCGTGAAATGAGGAGTAATGGTAGTTCGAACTAGGAGGGTAGTGTAGACATACCCTCCGTTATTACTTGTGCACTGTTGTACTTCTGTAATGTCATAGGATAGGACTAATAATGGAAAATGTTCTGGGGCAAGACTGAAACACATATATTGTCTTGGGGAAGGCAGCACAGTGATTTCCCAACTACTGAAATGAGTGTAACCAGACGAATTTATGATGCGTTATTATTTGTGTCATTTTTGTCAGTGATTTGGATCTGTCTTCAGTCTCTCAGGGTTATGTTCTGCATGTCTTAGAGTGTCTGAACAAAATGGATTGAAGAATCACCATTTTAAAAAGGGAATGTTCTCCAGAATAAGGTAAATAATGGAAAATAAAAAATTTCAAATATTTGTTTGCAATTTTTAATAATTTGGCAATGATTGTGTGCTTTACACAAGAATTTGCAGGTTCACTGAGCAAATTTCAGAGTTGCAGGGAAGATTATTTGCAGAAACTGAATTTCAGATTGTTACGCACATGTATTTATGCTGGAAAGACTTGCGTGCTCATTCAGGCAGAGAACTAATAAAATAGCATGTGACTTATCTGGCCAATTGCAGTAAGAACACATAGCTTGAATTTAGAATATCTGGAGTCAGTCTGTAAAGTAAAAACTTCCAAAAGCTATTTATCAAAAAAAAAAAAAAAAAAAAAAAGAGGACCAATAAATCCAAAGAAATTCAGTTACCTTGTGGATGTTTCCCAAGCACAAACATAAGCTTCAGTTGTCAAACTATTAATTGGTAATTATTTGCTCAGCTTTAACTATCTTATACCTCATGCTCATTATTATTATCTCAACTACAGTACATTTATTTAGGCAGAGAGAAAATTCAGGACATTTACTTCACTGCCTTTTATGCATAACAAGATACCGCTTACATTTAAATGAAAAAAAAGTGCATTTACTTCTCTTTCTGGCTCTCCAATAAGAAGTCCCTGAAGAGGCGAGCTTGGCTGGTGGTGTTTAGTGATTTCTCAGATAACAAGAGCTTCACATTTCTGTGGAATTCCCATTTGCCAGTGAGCTGCTGCTGCCGCTCGCCTGATTGATATATGACTGCAATGGCACTTTTCCATTTGACATTCTCTCTCCCTCTCTCACTCCCTCTCTCTCGCTCAAACAACAGCCCTAACTTTTGTGTGTTGCAAATATAAAAGGCAAGCCATGTGACAGAGGGACAGAAGAACAAAAGCATTTGGAAGTAACAAGACCTCTCTTTCGCTCTCAGAAGAGTGTGAGGAAAGGAAGGAGCGGCACATTTTCCAAAGGTAAGAACACAAATAAGTGCTTACTCATATTTTGGGTATTACATGCACTTAAACTGAGCATTTACTTTGTTTATCTGACAGATACATGTTCTCCAGATAGCATGTTTAAAATAAAAGTGTATTTGTTTAAAAATGACTGCCAGGCTACTACCTATATCATCTTGTAATTCCCTTAATTACACATCTGTCTCATGATGCCAGTGTATAGTCTCTGGGAAGAAAACCAGGCAGTGTGTACTGTGGTTCTGAATAAAATAGTCAACTGCGTTTCTTGTTGTAACTTCACATTGGTTCTCATTTGTATGAATCTGTGAGGAAGGCAGGCACTCAGTTCTGTCCTGAATTCATAAGAAAAAAATGATAGTATCTCCAGCTCTGTCTTTGTCGCATTACAATAGAGCTCCATTGATACAGGCAAGCCAGCTATCTTAAAATTGATCTCTTTACTTTTATTACTACCTATATATGCTGCTCTGTGGTCAGTCATCTGCTGGAGTGCTTAGAATAATTTGAAACAATAGGCAAGATTTATTTCTAGCTTTGTGTGTCATGCTTTGCAGGAGGCACTTTTAATTTGTGTGTTATTATTTAACCAAACTTCTGGGAAGCTTTACCATGGAGTGCATAGGACTGGTTATGGATTAGGATGGATTTAATGTATGTATTTGATTGGCTTAAGAGAGATGAGGAAATCCACAGTGTTTGTCTTGGCTATAGTATCAGAGGATATATTTAGTAGTCAGCTTGCACAACAAATAATGCAGTGTGAATGTGTGTTCAGTGGCTCAGTCTGGAGGATGCTCAGGCAGGGCACTGCATTCAGTGATAATTTCCAAAGAGCTCAAAATGTCTGTCAGGAGGTATAAAGGACCATTCAGTATCCCGAGAGCATTGTTTTGCAGGCTAAAATTTCTCTTTAAGAAAAATGCCAGTGTAAGAGGCGTGAGCACAACTGTTTTCTATGTGCTAGGGACAAAAGAAGAGTATGGCTGTGAGTTGAATAATAATGCATCAGAGTACAGTATAACTGGAGTCCATTGTAATGGATAAAGTCCAATTAGAACTTGATTGAAGAACAAAAGTCCCGTGTAGCTGCTGAGAGTTATGTGAGTGCAATAAGTATGACCAGTTTGAAGGCAGCAGATTAAACAGCAATAATCACACTAACAGAGGTGGACAGAGGGAAATTTGGAATTCCATTTTCATGTTAAACATACTAATGAAATTATCTAGAACTGACAACGCAGCCCTGGAAAGAGAGCTTGGAAGGAGAAGGTGTTTTACATGGGGTGAATATTCATTTCTGAGGAAGAGATTGGCTTGGACAGTTAGGACATGGAACCAGAATTCTAATCTCTCTTCCAAAGCTGATTTAAACTGGCTACCTCTATTTCCTGGTCCGCAAGAAATGGCATAATAGTATCTCTCTGTTGTACTGACCTCATTAGGGTGTTGAGAAGGTTAATTGGCTAGTACCTGTATGGCATTTTAAAGATGAAGAGTGTCATACGAGAGCCAAGTGTTCTTAGCAATTTCTAGTAACTTCCAGTGCAACCCGTTGTTACGGGTGCATGCAAGCGACAGTGTGCACTGGAACAAAACAGAACATATAGGCTGTGTCTACACTGGGCCACTTATTCCGGAAAAGCAGCCGCTTTTCCGGAATAAGCTGCTAGCTGTCTACACTGGCCCCTTGAATTTCCGGAAAAGCAGTGACGATTTACTGTACGAAATCAGCTGCTTTTCCGGAAAGACTATGCTGTTCCCGCTCGGGCAAAAGTCCTTTTTCTGGAAAACTGTTCCGGAAAAGGGCCAGTGTAGACAGCACAGTAGTCTTTTCCGGAAAAAAGCCCTGATCGCGAAAATGACGATCGGGGCTTTTTTCCAGAAAAGCGCATCTACATTGGCCACGGACGCTTTTCCGGAAAAAGGGCTTTTCCGGAAAAGCAGCCTGCCAGTGTAGATGCTCTTTTTCCGGAAATACTTATAACAGAAAACTGTTCCGTTTTAAGCATTTCCGGAAATTCATGCCAGTGTAGACACAGCCATAAAGTGCTACATTAAGACAACAGTAAGTACAAATTCATTTCATACCAGCACTGCATCATTTAATGAGTTCCTAATGGAAGCAACCCAGATGCCTGTTAGGGTCACTCACTACCTGTGGGTATAACAGATCCCATTCTGCTTTTTGTTCGTATTGGTAAGAACTTGTTTTTGTGAATCTACTTTTTTTCATTGCTAGCAATGCTCACTTTTACCCAGATAGTGAAACTCTGACTCGTGCTAATGAGCAGCTACGCACATGAATAGCTCTATGGACTTCAGTGAAACTACTTTTGTGAGTACTGCTTACCAGCTTGAATCAGAGAGACACAATCTGGCCCATATGTTCATTCTCATGCTGGACTAATGAACTCTTATTTCTGGAATAAATATCTTCTTGATTTTAAAACATAAAGGGCATTCAATAGATTTTGTTGCTGCAAATTTACACAATGAACATGGAACTTTATTAAGCCAACTTTATGAAGCCAATTAGCTATAGGTTTCAGTCAGCTACTGTGCCACTCTTTTATGATATTATTCAGATCATCGCTTGCCCATACTGCTTCTTAGAGTTCAGTTTTTTTATACCACCACTCATTTTTAAACATGCATGTATATAAATTATCTTTGCTTGGCTAGCATAGGATTATCACCAATCACTATATCCAGTACGGCTTTCTGCTTATAGTAGTAATTTTTCATTCAGTCATCTAAGCATGGGTAATACGCACAGTAGCAGTTGGTCTAACCTAGATAGGTTCAGATGAGTCATAGGGATCAATGAAATCGCCAGTTTTTCCTTGCTGCCTACTTTGATTAGTGGACTGCAATACCATTCCTCTAGATGGGATGGATGTGAGGCCCAATCAACGACCCATTCAACAAGAAGTGCCCATGTGGTCAGCCATGTGCCCATGTGGATTCATTGTATCCCCTGAAGTCTGACCACTTCACCTCTCTGACGTATCTGCTCCCAAAAGAATGAGGAAGTGAGAACCTGAAGGTTGTTCCTGAACTGGCATGTCTCTGACATAAGCTTGCAGAACAGTGCAATGTAGTGCAGTGCTATTGTTAAGTCACCAGGTCATTTATTTATACAAATGTGGTGATAGATTTTTTAAACAATATTTTTCAAATTGAATTGAACATCCCTGTGCCTCTAATGCTTTGCGCATTGGCCATTTTCAGGAGACATGTGGCATGCTTGGTTTTAGTAACATAGGAATGGTCCTACTGGATTGGACCACTGGCCTAGCCTATTGGGTATTGTGTCTCTGACAGTGGCTAGAGCCAGTTACTTCAAAGGGAGGTATTAAAAATTCTATATGTAATAAGTTGCCCACAGGGAATGTTTCTTCCTAATTCCATCACTTAAATATTGCTTTATGCCCCGAAGCATTAGGGTTTATAATCCTTTCAAAAACTCTTTAGAAATCTGTGTTATTATAGTGCTGGATGCTTACATTAGCCGTATAATAGTCTAATACTTTCCTGAACCCTTCTTATCTCTTGGCCTCAGTGATACATTGGGGACTTAAAGTTCCACAGGCTGGTTGTATGTTGTTTGTATGTAGTAAGTGCATTTCCTTTTTACCAGTTTAAAATTTGCTGCCTTTCAATTTCATGGCATGTCCTCATGTTCTTGCCTCAAGCAACAGTGAATAGTAATGCTCAATTTAACTTCTCTTTACCCTTTGTTATTTTGTTTGCTGTTATCAGGCTTTTCCATTGGATGCTTATTGCCTTGTAACTCATATTAATTCCTGGATAAGATTTGGATACAACTGGATTAGCTCATTCACATGTCTCTCTGTGGAAGATGAAATCACCCTCATTTCCCACAATTCTGTACCCGCATGTTGAGAGGTGCTGTCGCCTGCTCTGACTATGATCAGCTGTTATTTCCTTTTTATATGTGTCAGTATGGAACATATTAAAATTTCTCAGTAATGGTATGTTTGGAATCCCTCTGATGCCACATCTCTAACTTAGCAGAACAATAAAAGCAAGGTTGTAGTAAGCCTTTGAGCAGCTGGTAGTCTATATATTCCTTCTTTTTTTCACATAATCTAATTCAAATAGAATTTGGGTAGCACTGGCACTACCTCTTCTAAACACCATCAGCTCTCATCCTATTTACCAGATTTAGACTGCATGGTATATCTGAGTAGAGTCCCCTTAGATTGTAGGAAACACAGTCTTTCATCTGGTATCACACCATTTGTCGTAGACCAGCTGATATGAAGGAAACACAGCGGTGAGGAATCCCTCATGATCAATATTATTCTAGTAAATTTTCTTTACATCAATCATTGTTAAAGTTTCTGCTGCTAAGATTTGCTTGCATATTATAACTGAGCTGTAAACCACTTTAGAGTGGTGATGTAGTAATGGTGCGGGTTATGTTGCCCTTTGAGTCATGTGAGTTAGGATTGGAGTTAATGCTCCAGCTTTGGTTTGGCAAAGGTTAAACATACCATGACAGTGATACTTGCATCTGTCAAATTGAGTGGGAACTAGAAGGTCCTCTTATTACAATGCATGAATTGCTATCGTGAGTCAAATCCTGTAGTTCTTAATCAGTTTTTTATTCACTTGGTCAATTTCTTATGAAAACCAATGGGAATTTTTCCCAAATAAGGACTGTAAGTATTAAAAAAAAGCACAGGATTTGGATTTGAACATATTACGGAGAGGAGAGAAGAAAAGATATTTCTGATGGTTGCTAATAACTGATAATCTCTGGGAACCTAAAATAAACAAATAAAACCAGATCTTACTAAACATGCAACTTGCCTATTAAATAACATAGAATCAGAAATTCCCATCTCCTTCTAATGCTCCAAACTATACCGCACTATGCCGGGTGGTAATGCCCCCAAGCAGTGCTAAGCCTCAGGGCAACTTTGTACTCAGTTAGTAATAATAATCTCATGAAAAAATATTGTTAT